TATAACACAAAAAATAAAAAAGAAAAAGAAAACTAAGACAGTGTGTTGCCAGCAGTTCTGAACTATAAGAAATGTTAAGGGACACTCTTTAAGCAGAAGAAATATGATCCCAAATGAGAAACTGTATCTACACAAAGGGAGAAACTAGAAAACTCACATTAATGTGGGAGTGGTGGGAATGGCAGTCTCTGCAGAAAACAGTTTGGCAGTTCCTCAAAAAGTTAAACATAGAATTCACATAGGACCCAGCAATTTCACTCCTAGGAATATGCTCTAGAGAATTGAAACAGGTATTCAAAGAAAAACTTGTATAAAAATATTCATAACAGAATTATTCACTGTCATGAAAACAATCAAAATGAAAACAGCCAAAAACGGAAACCCAAATACCCATCAGCTGATGAGTGAATAAACAAAATTTGGTATATTCACATAATGAAATATTATTTAACCATAAATAATGAAATACTGTTACATGCTACAATGTGGATGAAATGTAAAAACATTACTCAAAGCAAAGAAACCAGAAACTAAAGCCATGTCATATGGTTACATTTCTATACAATGTCAAGAATAAGCAAATCCACAGAGTCAAAGGAGACTAGTGGTTTCCAGAGGCTGAGAGAAGAAAAGAATGTGTGTAGGTTTATTTTGGGAATGATTAAAAGTTCAGGAATTAGATAGTGGCAGTGGTTGCATAAACTTGTAAATATACTAAAAAGCACTGAGTTGTATACTTTAAAATTCTAGATTTTATGGTATATAAATTATATCTCTATTTTTAAAATGAAGAAATAATGAAATGTTTTCATCTATAAGAGTGACAGACACTGATGATGCTCATATTGTTGGGACTATGAGGGAAAAGACACACACATTGCTTGAGTCCCTTGTCAAGGATAACTCAGTACTATGCCTTAAAAATGTGTGTGCTCTGCCCTAGCAATTCCAATTACAGAATTTTATCATAAGGGAATAATTGAATGCATTTGTTAGGATGTAGGTGAAGAGATGTTCTTCACAGAATTATTTATAAAGAGAAAATGAGAAAACCTTTGTCTAAAAATAGGGAACTATTTAAATAGTTGTAATCCATTCATCCATTCGACATTAAACAGATAATTATATTTTCACTGACATGGGAAGCTATCCAAATACAGTCTTAGGTGAAATGAAAGCAGGATATAAAATGTATACATTGTGATCTATTTCTATAATATATAGATCTAGTCATTATGGTCTGAAGTATATATCACTATTAATGACAGTTTTCTCTGAGCAGTATGTCAAATGTTTTTTGTATGTGAATATGTATTATCTAATTTTTCTGCAATTAATATGTATTACTTAATTCAAAACTATTGAACTTTCAAAACATACATGTCAAGCTTAATAACATCTATATTGAGACAAAGTGGCATTATGCACCCCTGAAATGATACGCTGATGACAGTATTACCTATGTAATATTCCTGCCAAAAGAGTCAAATCCAAATTTAACTATGTGGAAAAAAATACAATTTTAAAGACATTCTGCTAAACATGTGTCATGGACTCTTGAAATGTCGGCATCTTAAAAAGAAACAGAAAGGCTGGGAGGCTGTTTAGATAAAAACCACTAAATAAGTATTACCACTAATTATCTTCTATTATGCCCAAAACACTGGATAAAAATAAACCAATAGAAAAACACATTTTGTAAAATTGTTTAGAAAAAAGAGAATAATAAGCTTCTAGAAAGGAAACACAATGATCGCATCTAAGCAAATCATGAATCAGATGGCTTAAGTCTTCTCAACGCACTTAGAAGCCAGAAGGGAATGGAGCACTGCCTTTAAAATTCAGAAGGAAAAGATTTTCAAAACTAGGATTCCAAACCTAGACAAATAATCACTTTATTTGGCAATAAGGTAGAATAAAGAAATTTTCAGAGATGTAGGATCTCAAATAGTTAACCCTCTTTCAATAAGTCACTGGAACATGCTTTCTTCCCAAGCAAGAAAATAAACCAGGAAAGAAAAGAAAAATTAAATCAGAAAACACGAGAGCCAGCATAAGTGAAAGGAATTCCTAGGGCGATACTGACATGAGATTCCAGGATGACCACTGTCCCAGAGGTCAACGTGTTCAGATGGAATCTGCATGACTCAAATAATGAGTACAGTGAGGTCTCTCACCACTTAGTTCTCAGGCTTTGTACAACCTTTGAACCTTATGAAATATTAGATGATGTGTTCTACTAAAAAGGAAGAAATCAAGGAAAAAGGCCAGAGATCCAAGAAACAGGAACTGCAACCCAAAGAAAGGCAGAAAGTCTCAACGATGACAACAAATAGAGGTCTGCAGATGGTAGTTACGCAGCAGGCTTAGGGAGAAGTCAGCCCAAATAAGAGAAAAATGAAAATCTCTGGTAAAGAGGTTTCCATTAAAACAAAATTGGAGCTGCTATATTACATTATGAAATTGACCTTGTAGAAACTGTATGGGGTAATATTTGAGAGTTCAGGAAGAATTAGCTATGACAAAAATGAACAGTAAGAAAAGGCAATTGTTAACTTTAAGAAAAACAAAAAATATTTTCACAATATCCAATACTCAACTATGAATATTTTCATTTCATTATAAGATAAATGCCAAATATAAGTCTAACTTAAAATTACAGTATTGTTCTAATAGTATGGGAAATGGAAACAGTGTGAGCGATAAGTCGTTATCTAATAAGAAGTTAACAGATAATATATCAATTTGTTAAATCAATAAATAGCATTATATGCCTATTATGTACTATCATGAATTAAGTAAATGTCAGAAGAAAGAGTAAATAAAGTCTAAATTTGTTCCCACTAGAAAGAGGAAATAAAGAAGTGGAGTTGTACAGGACAAGGGAACTCTTCATGTTATCTGCCTTCTTAGTTCCATCTGACTTTCAAAACTATGTGCATGTATAATTTTAATAAGAATTAGTTTAGGTCAGGCACAGCTGCTCATGCCTATAATCCCAGCACTTTGGGAGGCCAAAGTGGGAAGATTGCTTGAGACTAGGAGTTTAAAACTAGCCTGGGCAACATGGTGAACTCCTACCTCTACAAAAAAAATACAAAAATTAGCTGGGTATGGGGGTATGTGCCTGTAGTCCCAGCTACTCAGGAGGCTGGAGTGAGAGAATCACCTGAGCCCAGGAAGTTGAGGCTGCAGTAAGCTATGATCATGCCACTTGACTCCAGCCTGGGCAACAGAGTAAGACCCTGTCTCAAAAAATAAAAAATAAAAAAGAATTAGTTGAAAATCAATGTTTTATCAGCTCTTACTAAAGTTCTGTAAAATGTAATTTCGCTGTAGTTATTTTGAAATGCTAATATACAAGAGCATTTCAACAAATTTGAGACAAATTATAGACTATCTTGAGAAATACTGAAATGATATTGGCTAGGAAAATCATTGAATGATGAGCATTGCTTGGAGAAGGCTCCCTGGAAGAAGTGCATTATAAACTGGGATGATGTGTGTGCACTGAAAAAGGCTTTGGACAAAAAATTCTAAAGAGTGAGCATGAAAATCAAACCAGGATTTTAGATTTTCCAATGTCCCACCAAGAACAGTTATTCCTGTCTCCACAGAGCTTCCTTGGGCTCCTCTGGACAATACTGGCATAGTATGAAAGGAATTTTTTCTTAAGTGATGGATTTATAGTCAAGGCAAGAATCTATGCTCAAAGTTATCTGAAAAGCATCATATATCCACTAATTTATCAACTCAACACATACTCCGTGATAACTACCATGTGTCAGACCAGAGAAAGGCTCCACAGAGATGATGATGAAACTAACCAAGGTTTCTGGCCAAATGACAACAGCTTGGGACATGAGATTCCTACAGCAGCTGGCAGGACTATCATGGAACCCACCAAATCTTCCTGTGCCATAAATCATAAAGTTCCTAATGTTTCCTTAGACTGGGAATGTGAACTCCAGGAAACACCCATATCTCTCTGGCCCCCAGAGCAGGAAGTACAGGAAATTCTTTCACCATGATTAACGTGGAGGGTGCATGAAAAGACAAATTGATGCTTCCAACAGGGAAAGTAAAATTTGCTTGTCAGAGGCAAAGCTAAAATGAAAGCAGCAACATTTAATCTAAACCATTTCCTGAGACTTGGATTTCTTTTTTAAAAAAAATTGGCCGCCTTATCACTTTCTTAGTCACCTTTTCTCTAGGCTTATTGGAGGCGTATCCCCTCCTAGCAACTTCCCATCTGCTGGAAAACAGAATCAGGAGAATAAGGAGTGTGATGACACATCCTTCACTGGATGAAAATATTAGGGGGAAAGCAACAAATGCACTACCATTTGCATAAAACCTATTAATTAATGCCCTCTTCAGACTAGTGAAATGAATTTTACATCACCAAGAAAGCAGCTGTGATCCACTGCATCTAGTAATGAGAATTATTTGGAACGACCTGCAAACCACTGCCACTCCTAGAAGCAACATCATTGACTTCAGTACTCTCTAATTAAAATACTTTCATTCTTGGACGGAGAAGACGTATCTTGATCCAAATTCAGCTAATAGGTCTCTTTGCTCAAAACGCTGTTAGGTTTCTTGTGTTCCTGTTTTCTTAATGCTCGTGCAGATCCATGGCATTTCAAACCTTTATTTAAAAATCAAAACTAACATCTCCTCTATTTTATTTTTTCCTATTGGCAATCATATTGGCGGGGGTGGGGGTGGGGGTGGAGTGTGGTACAATCTCAGTCAAGAGGTCCTCTCTTGTGTGGGCACTGGGATAACACTGGTCTTATACAATGGCCAAGCAAAGCAGCCTTCTGTCCTGCTGTGCTTTACAAGTAAAGCCCGTGGCTTCCGCGAGGGTAGCGTCGGGGGCCGCTGCAGAGACTGGAAGAGGATTCACAGGGAATGGGAGGGAAGACGCGGAGAAGGTGGAGAATAGGAATCATGCGTGTTCCTCGAGTGTACAACCCACATTTGAGTGACAAATGACGAAGACAATCGACAAAAACAACTAAGCGCAAAGCCGACTGATCCATCTCCCTCTGTGTGCGTGTGCCTTTTCAACTAACTTTGGGAACTCGTAGACCCAGCTTGGCTCCCCGCGCCGCCTCGCCTCCACTTTGGTTTCCCGCGTCCTGCCCGCCGTCTTCGGTGCCTCCTCTTCCTCCGGGGCAAGGATGGAGGATCTCTTTAGACCCTCAATTCCGCCGCCGGCGCCCAACCTCTCCGTGCCCATCCTACTGGGCTGGGGTCTCAACCTGACTTTGGGGCAGGGAGCCCCCGCCCCGGGGCCGCCCAGCCGCCGCGTCCGCCTGGTGTTCCTGGGGGTCATCCTAGTGGTGGCGGTGGCGGGCAACGCCACTGTGCTGTGCCGCCTGTGCGGCGGCGGCGGGCCGTGGGCAGGCCCCAAGCGTCGCAAGATGGACTTCCTGCTGGTGCAGCTGGCCCTGGCGGACCTGTACGCTTGCGGGGGCACGGCGCTGTCGCAGCTGGCCTGGGAACTGCTGGGCGAGCCCCGAGCGGGCACGGGCGACCTGGCGTGCCGCTTCCTGCAGCTTCTGCAGGCTTCGGGGCGGGGCGCCTCGGCCCACCTCGTGGTGCTCATCGCCCTCGAGCGCCATCGCGCCATGCATCGACCGCACGCGCGGCCGCTGCCCGCGCGCGCCCTCGCCGCCCTGGGCTGGCTGTTAGCGCTGCTGCTGGCTCTGCCCCCGGCCTTCGTGGTGCGCGGGGGATCCCCCTCGCCGCTGCAGCCTCTGCCGCAGCCGCTGCCGTCCCCGCAACCCGGCACGCCCCCGCCCGCCCGCGCCTGGCCAGGGGAGCGTCGCTGCCGCGGCATCTTCGCGTCCCTGCCACGCTGGCACCTGCAGGTCTACGCGCTCTACGAGTCCGTCGCGGGCTTCGCAGCGCCTGTCGCGGTCCTGGGCGTCGCTTGCGGCCACCTACTCTCCGTCTGGTGGCGGCGCCGGCCGCAGGCCCCCGCAGCTGCAGCGCCCAGGTCGGCGAGTCCCGGCCAAGCCCCCGCGCCCAGCGCGCTGCCCCGCGCCAAGGTGCAGAGCCTGAAGATGAGCCTGCTGCTGGCGCTGCTGTTCGTGGGCTGCGAGCTGCCCTACTTCGCCGCCCGGCTGGCGAACGCTTTGTCGTCTGGGCCCGCGGGAGACTGGGAGGCAGAGGGCCTGTCGGCGGCGCTGCGCGTCGTGGGGATCGTCAACAGCGCTCTCAATCCCTTCGTCTACCTCTTCTTCCAGGCGGGCGACGGCTGGCTCCGGCGACGACTGTGGAGGCACCTGGGCTCGCTCTGCTGCGCGCTGCAGGGAGGCGCGGAGGATGAGGAGGGGCCCAGGGGCCACCAGGCGCTCTACCGCCAACGCTGGCCCCACCCTCATTATCACCATGCTCGGCGGGAACTGCTAGACGACGGCGGCTTGCGCCCACCCCCTCCGCGCCCCAGACCTCTGCCCTGCTCCTGCGAAAGCGCCTTCTAGGTGCTCGATGGTCAGAGAGGACGGGTGAACTGTCGCTGAGACGCAGCCTCCAGGGAACTCGAGGCCTGCCAGGTTCTGTCCAGATCACAAGGGGCAGGAGAGTCTGTGCGAGTGACACCGAAGTTGTCCCCTTCCTTCACTTTCCTATTCCCTTTTCATGTTTACACTTCCCTACCCTCTTCCAATCTCTCTTCTTCCCTACAGCTCCTCTCACATCTCCCCATTTGGAGACAGCGAGCCACTGGGAAGTTGTAAAAACAAAGACAGCTATTTTTGCAGTTTTCTTTCACGCATTTATAGTGCTCTGGATAAGACAACTTATTTTTGCTAAATTACCCAACTTTTATTATTTGCTGTGTTATCATCTGTACTTACTTATTTTGAATCGTGCTTATATCAAATGTACCTTCAGCACCTGCAAATTTGCCTTTTCTTTCCAGGAGGAACAGCCTCACATTGCTCTCCCTGGAGAGTCTGAGAATTATACCAGTGCTGTCAGAAATGTAATCATGCTGTCATTTCAGAATCACAGAGTATTTGTAAAATAAAAACCTTTCCCACAGAGCAATTGGGACTTTTTTTTTTCTTTTTTTTTTAACATGGTAATGTATTTTCTCAGAAGAAAATCAGTGTGGCCTTTATTTCCAGTCTAGTTTCCACTTCAACAGAAGCTGAGGTTGTAGGAAGGAAACAAAAACATAAAAGCTTTCAGATATACTTGGTTTTCGTAGGAAATTGTCCCTGTTCCCCCAGCAGCCTCTAAAGCTGTAATGCTATGCCCAGATGGAGCTTCTGGGTACAAAGTCCCCAGCAAACCAGAGAAGGGAAGCTTCAAGGTGGTACATATGGGTGGGGGTCAATGTCCCAGATGGAGCCTCAAGGAGATTTGCAGCTAGGAAGGAAGTCAAAATCTCAAAATGCTGCATGCGTATATAAAACTCTCTTGTTTAAAAAAAAAAAAAAAAATGAACTCAATGCCTATTGGTATGAATTGCTGAGAACAAGGTCAAGGAGGGGATTTGATCAGAAACTATAGGGTCCTGTGAACCCCTCCCTGCTGATGCAGAGACAAGAAATTGTAGAAATAAAAGACTCAGACACAGAGATAGAGAAAAGAGAGTTTGGGCTCGGGGGTCCACTGCCAACCAAAATGCGGAGTCCTGCAGTGGCACGGAGCGTCCACGCACTCTGACTTTTACTGAGTACAAAGCAGTGGGCAGGGAAGATAGGGGTAATGGTGATCAGTGATAGGGTCAAGTAAATCATGTGTCTTGGAGTTAGGGGCCCAGGACTTTCAAGTAGCCGAGATGGGGAGAAAACCTAATGCATCAGCACTCTTTGCATATTTGTTAGAAATGTCAAGGACACTAATTCTTATCTTCTGAGAAAAAGAGAAACCAGGTACAGAAGCAGGGTGTGAGAGTGGACATGGAATGTGACCGCTGAAACACAGCATCCCATAGAGACAGTTAAGCCCCCAGAAGTCTGCGGGTGTCCCTGACAATCGTCAGGCCTTGCCACAAGAGCTTGGAGAAGCGGAGTTTTCCCCTAACTTCCTAGGAAGGTGAGGTCTTGGCCATTTTGGACATCTCCTTCCCTAGCTGGCTAAACAGCAGGCGCTTTCACAGCACTGGCACTGCTGCACAGCTGAGAGGCCCTCCAGCAGCCCTTATGTGGGCATGACAGAGGGCTAAGAGCATCTTGCCTTAGGATCATTTTGTTCACGTTGTCACCTCAGTTCCATGCTTCATAACCCAATAGTCATTAGTAAAATTAAAGGTTATATTGAGTATATATCTTTATAAGTGAGCAACTATAAGATTATATATGATTATATAAAGGAAAACTATGTGCCTACATTTCTTTTTTTGAGACGGAGTTTCGCTCTTGTTACCCAGGCTGGAGTGCAATGGCGCGATCTCGGCTCACCGCAACCTCCGCCTCCTGGGTTCAGGCAATTATCCTGCCTCAGCCTCCTGAGTAGCTGGGATCACAGGCACGCACCACCATGCCCAGCTAATTTTTTATATTTTTAGTAGAGACGGGGTTTCACCATGTTGACCAGGATGGTCTCGATCTCTTGACCTCGTGAGCCACCCGCCTCGGCCTCCCAAAGTGCTGGGATTACAGGCTTGAGCCACCGCGCCCGGCCTGTGCCTACATTTCTAATTCTTTTCTAAATCAATATTTATATGGGAACAGGCTGAGAATTCAGACCCTTGCCACGGCACTTGCGGAGTTTCCCTCCCACAAGTAACCTCTTCCTCTCAACTGTTCTTGATTCTAGACAGAAGTGGCAGCACTTATGAACAATATAGCCATGTGTTTATCAGTGACTTTTATGTGAGGATCTAAAGCTTTCCATCACAGTGTTTCTTATTCGTGTACAAATGCAGGTCTAAGACGCAGAAAGGGCAAATGATTGTTTAAAGCTATTTGTAGAGCCAATGCTCTCTGAGGGCTATTCTGTTCACTAATATATTCCAAATGCTTAAGCAATACTTGACATGTAGTAGGCTCTCAATATATATTTGTGGAATAACTCATCATATGAGTCAGAAAGAGGCAGAATAGATAAGAGATATATGAAAGGAAATCTTTACTAAGCTTGGTTTACCTTCCTCCAAAATTTTGACAACAGATGTTGCAGAGTTGTCGGTTTTTCTTCCCGTCTTTGCTCCTCCTTACCCTATTGAGGATGCAACGGTCTGCAAAATACCAGGAATAAATCAGACAAAGAGAGGATGCAGTTGTCTTCATGAACCCAAGTCTGGATTATAGCATTATTTACTCATTAAGAAACATATATTACCTGCTTATGTTATGCTTGTTAATAAGCTAGGCATTGGAGATGCTAAGATGAATAAGGCACATTTTCCCCTCAAAGACGTTATCGTCAAATGCAGGAAACAACCTGACAATTACACTGCAGCATCGCCTGTGTTGTAACAGGGGATTCCAGTCAGTGTTCTGGAAGCACTGAAGAGAATCTGACAATCTTGGGGGACTATGTGGGGACACTAGGAAAGACTCGCCAAAAGAAGCTATTGAAGACTGCTTTGGGGTGATCTTTCAGGTCAGGAAAGGTGTTCCAAGCAATGGGAATAGCACTGTAAAGTGTAGGGGAGACAGAACATAGCATAATCAAGTAATGACAATAGCTTTAGGGTGTGTTTGGGGCCTGACCTAATGAGATATGTGGTTGGAGAAATTCAGCCTGGACCCAGTAAGGACAGGTTGGTGTGCTAAGCCAAGAAAGAAAGAAAAAAAAATAGCCTTTGAAGAATTTAATCAGAGTTCTAATATGATCAATTTTGAATTTTACAAAGATCATCTCAATGATGGCATGAAGGATCAACAAATGAAAGGGTGAGAGAAAATTATTAGAGGCAGAAATCAAGGCAGAATCAGAAAGTCTTCAAAATATGATTCCTAATGTTGGACCATTTTGTATACTCTCAATTGAGATAATAAATTTGAAGCAGCTGAGCCATGTTTTCTGTTTTCTGCAGTTAAGACTACCCTAACAGAAAAGCTGACTCAGCTGGCTACAATTTATTATTTCATATGACAGTAAGTCCAGTCGTAGGGCTGGTCAGGGTTGGTTAAGTAAGTAGCTCAACTCCATAATCAAGGGCTGTGATGGTTAATTTTATGTGTCAACTTGACTGGGTTAAGGGATGCTCAAATAGCTGGTAAACCATCATTTTTGGGTGTGCCTATGAGGGCGTTTCCGGAGGAAGAAATTAACATTCGAATCTGTAGACTGAGTGAAGATCGATCCTCACCAGAGTTGGCAGGCATCATCCAACCTGCTGAGGGCCCACCCAAATAGAACAAAAAGACAGAGGAAAGGTGAATCCTCTCTTTCTCTCTCTTCTTGGGCTGGGACATCCATCTACTCTTGCCTTTGGACAGTTCTCTCCTTTTCTTCGGCCTTCAAACTCCAGGATTTATACCAGCAACACAAACCCCACAACCCCATTCTCAGGCCTTCAGACTCAGACTAAATTTTACCACCAGCTTTCTTGGTTCTCCAGCTTGCAGACAGCATATGGTAGAACCTTTTGGCCTTCATGGTCACGTAAGCTAATTTCTACAATACATCTCCTCTTGTGTATCTATATACATGCCACTGGTTCTGTTTCTCTGGAGCAGCCTCACTCATCCAAGGACTCAGATCCTTTTCTTCTTTCCAGTCTGCCATTTTGAGTTGTGAACTTGACACTCAAGCCAGTTCCCCTTGAGGTCACAAAACAGCTACTGAAATTCCAGGCATCACATTCAAATGTAACCGTGTCCAGAAAACGGATTTCTCTTTCTTGTACTCTTTATAGAAATGAAAACACATGTCTCAGAAGTCCCCAACAGACTCTCCTGAATGGCTCATTTGCCAGAACTATATCACATGTCCATCATTGCAAGAGAAACGGGGCCACCATGATTGGCTTGAACATGGAACTGAGTATATGAATTGTATGGAGGGAGGGATGAGAAAACTGAGGCTCTACAGTGAAGAAAGAAGAGGAAATGCTTGTTAAACATGCAAGACTAAAACTTTTAAACTATTTAAAAAGTGTTATCTAGATTGGTTTTTACAATACAATGGGGTTTTCAGCTGATTGCTACCTAGAAATTTTGAGAATTCTTCATCTGGGTTGGAAATATAGAATACCAACTCAAGAAGTTAATTTGAAATACAATTAAACTACTGTTTTTCTAGATTTTATGTAGTTAAGCCAATTTATATGGAAATGCTTCTCTTCCATAAGTAAGAAACTTCCTCTAAGTTTAACCAAATCTGAAACTTGAATATGTATCTAGATGACTTGGTTCCCATTCCTGGAGGCATTTGTAGGTTAGGAAATTTGAGACATTCCCTCAGGATGACCATCCTGCTGATGTTGACCCTAGGAACCTGCATTTCTACAGGTAACCCAGAGATTCAGCTGTGTCCTAGTCAAGGGGACCCCTGAAGGTTATTCAGATTTAGAATCTTGCTAGGTAGAACATACTACTCACATTACACAGCAAAGGCAAATACAAGGTTGACCCTGAAACTGCCCACTTTTCTGGGTTATCACACAAATGGGAAATGACTAGGAGAGAAACCAGATCTACATACTTGCAGTTTGGAAGAGATCAAAGTTGCCCTATAAAATAAATGATTCTTCTATGCTGTATATTTTTTGGAGTTAGATTTTAACCAAACTGCTGCACACAGGAGTTGAGGGAGCACTTTCCTTATAGATAAGATGTGAACATCACCAGCAGAGTTGAGCAATGTGGTGGTCCCAACTTTATTGAACTTTAAAGACTAAATGCAAAGAATTCTATATCTTTGAAAAAACTCAGTAACATACAGCCAAAATAAGTAAATATTACGTAATTTTAAATGGAAAGAATGCAGAAAACATCCAGGAGTTTAAATAAACCACACTAGTGATTAGCTATAAACAATACACAAAAAATAGAATCATCTGGCTCATTTGTGGAAGACAGATTTAAAGCATTTTTTTTTTCCTAAGGGATATCCTAAGAAACACAAGTGATTTTAG